CTTAGCTTGGACTGCCATAAAATACCATAGACTGATTGGCTTACACACAGAAATGTATTTTCTCTTAGTTCCAGAGGCTGGAAGTCCAAGATCAGGCTACTCGCCTGGTTGGGTTCTTGTGAGGGCTCTCTTCCTGGCTTGCAGGTGGCCACCTTTGTTGTGGTTCAAGTAATGTCATCTACACTCCCTTGATACCAACAAGTCAAAGGGGCAGGGAACTAGTAGAAAGAGTTTTATTTCTGAATTTGAATCCAGGGAGCAGAGCCAGGTTTTTGGCCTCTTTAAGATGGTTCTGCTCATCCTTCAGGTTTTACAGTCCACTTTTATAAGTCCAGAGTTGTTGGCACCTATACATTAGCCATGTGACCAGCAGAGCATTGTATAAAACTTAAGTTATGGCCGCATTTTATAGATAGTGACAGTTTATGGTCCAGACTTCCTGGTGCCAGGTACCAGAGGTATCTCACAGTTTTATCAGTGAGGCCCAGCAGAAGTATTAATCAAGCTTGCCTTAAGGGATTTTACAAGGCCCAAGATATCATATATTATGCAAAAGTTATACAAATCACAAAACTTACAATTACATTGATCCTATACTACTCAAACCTATGACTACAAAGAAAAGGGAGTAAAGAGAGATTTACATCTTTCAGTTGATTGGGCATGGTCTGCAGGGAAGTCAAGGATTCCCTGAAGCTACTTATTGGGAATGCAATAGGAGGTAAGGGAACTCTCAGGAATGTGCTCAGGAATATAGCTCTGTTTATTGGGCATGGTCTGCAGGAAAGTTAAGGATCCTTTGAAGCTCCTTACTGCGAGTACATAGTACATAGGAGATAAGGGGAAGGACATCCTTCATCAGCTCTCAGGAATGCACAGGAGCACTTGAGCCCTTGCCATACCCTTCTCTAGAGGCTGTGGCAATGCGGACAGACATCAGCAGGTCTCTGTATCACCTTTTCATTGTGTCCTCACATGGCAGGAAGAGGGTGGATGCGGGAGGGGCATGTGCGCAAGTCTTCTGTTGTCTCATAGGGACACGAATGCTCCCATGAAGGCCTAGCCTCGTGACCTCATCTAAACCTAATTATCTCCCAAAGGCCCCACTCCAAATATCATCACATTGGGGGTTGAGGCTTCAACAATGAATTGGGGGAAGGGAGGGTGGCGAAATTCAGTCCACTGTGTAAATTTGTCACAGGAACCCGAAGGTGACCAAGCAAACATTGATTTTAGAATTTACCTAAGTTGTGGAGATGACAATTACTATTTCTTGCCTCTATGGCTGAGAAAACTTTGGTCAAAATGAAGCTTTTGGACTATATAAATTAGTTGGCCAGGTAGCCCTGAAGTTAGCTGTAGATTTATTCGGAACTATTTTATCATTAAATCCACCACAGAAACTACCGCCTATCTGTGCAGCATAGGCCCTCTGGGAAGCTCCCTTGCGGTGAGTTCATCTCGGAAACCCACAGTCCCTGGGGTCCCCATCTGCAGGGTGGGAAGGCTTGGCTCATTCCCTGCCACGTGAGCATTCAGCATGGAAGAAATGCATCCACTTCATGTGGAAACAGCAGTCGGCTTGTTCCATCTGCACTTCTGCGCCAAGGACATGTGACTCGTGAGACGCCCAGTGGTGACAGATTTTCAGAGTCAGCCAAGCATCAGCCCCTCTGTGGGTTCTGACTTGGTCTGCATGGTAGGCACCACTCTCCCTTCCCAGTCCTCTACCCTGGAAGTGCTGCCCTCCAGGGAGGAAGCTGAGTCACATATGCAAGGCTTCTGCCAAATAACTCAAGAGGCAAAAACGGGTCCCAGGGGAAGGCTTGCTCTCACCGGACTCCAGAGGCTGGGCATGGTGGCTGGGAGAGGATGAGGCAGATGGAAGTATTCATACCAGGCTGTGGAAGCATCTAGTTGGCTAGAAGACATCAGCGCGCCTGGGAAAGAATATGGATGGCAAGGCTGCCTACAATCCAGCAGCTGTTGGTGTGTTCTCCTCACTGCCCTATAATTTAATGATAACATAATAACTGTTTTTCCCCCTTTTTGATCGCTTTCCTGGCTTAACCCCAAAATCTATCTAGATTTCTGACAGTGGTTCTCAATTCTATCAGATTCAATACCCCAGCCTTGAACAACTGAAATTCTCCTTAAAAATTCTCCTTTCAAATTCTCCTTTCAAATTCTCCTTAAAAAAACAAACAATTTATCCTGTATTGTCTCACTATAGCAAAGGTTGTTGATGCTCACCCACACCATATTTCCACTTTTCAAATAAATTACCTGCCCTAAGCCAGGCACGGTGGCTCACGCCTATAAATCCAGCATTTTAGAGTCCAAAGAAGGAGGATCGCTTGAGCCCAGGAGTTCAAGGTCAGCCTGGACAACAAAGCAAGACGTTGTTTCTACAAAAAAAAAAAAAAAGTAACTAAGACCTGTAGTCTCAGCTTCTCGGGAAGCGGAGATGGAAGGAATACCTGAGCCTAGGAGGCCAAGGCTGTGGTGAGCTGTGATTATGCCACTGCACTCCAGCTTGGGCATCAGAGTGAAACTCTGACTCTTTTTTTTTTTTAATTTTTAAAATTTTTTTGAGTTGGAGTCTCACTCTGTCGCCCAGACTGGAGTGCAGTGGATGGGAGCGGCCACTGCAGCCTCGACCTGCTGGGCTCCGGTGATCCTTCTGCCTCAGCCTTCCAAGTAGCTGGAACTACAGG